TTCGCATTACAATTGTTTATTACAATATCACTTTATACATAAATCACATGTTGCCTTAAACAACACCGCACGCAATGTCACTCATACCAATAAAAAAACAATAACATTTTGGCACACATGACGTGGCTTGACTTACTTAACGATTCGCTGTACAGGTAGTCAAAATATATATACAAGGAGTTTGATAATGTACAAGAGCCATTGCATTAACCCTATTATAGTACAAAAATGGGTCCGTTGCAGATTATCCAAAAAAATGATTTGTTTTTCCTTGTTTTTTTGGTATATTTTGGTTTGAAACTGTAATGATTTCCGTTTAATTGTTGATTTGAGGAATTTTCTTCAAAATATTTAACACTGAACGTAAAAAAAAAAAAAAAAATGGAGAAAATACGATTTCTATGGGAAACTATCTTAATATCTAATGCCAACAGGTTTCATTTATATTTAGATAAAAAAAAACAATCCCTTTCAATATTAGGAATTCTAGACACCTGATACAGAAAAGGAATAAATACTACAAAAGCTTTTTTTTTATATCATTTAAAAAAAATGCTGCAAAACCCAGGGACCGACAGCCAGGTGCAGGCGAAGAAGGGCGTGGGGGGGACACGTCTAAACACTGGTAAAAATATATTAAAAAATACCATAGTGATAATAATAATCATAGTAATCTACAATAATTAAGTAAAAAAAAATATGACAAGAGTGATAATGACATTCATCAAAATAGTAATAGTTAACCCTAATAGTAACAATTATGATAATGACAATGGTACAGATATTATGAAAATATACAAAACACATATAGTCCCTACAATCTTTTCGAAACAAAATCTAAAACCAAAAACAAAAACAACTACATCAATGAAATAAAACAAACGCAAAAATAACAAAACATAACCAATTCATCAACTCAAGTCATCAGTAAACAGAGTCAAAGCCCCGCCAGCTTGCTCTCGGTTGCATCACACGGCAAACCCTCCTTCGCCCGTCAACACCACCTTCATCTGGCCCCTCTCTTTGATTATGGCAATTGGAAAGGCACCATCGGTTCAGCTGCGTCGTGAGGGAAAACGACCTGACCTTATATAGCAACTGTAGTAACGAACACACAGATTGACAGAGAAATAAACAATAATAACAAAATGATTCGTAAATGCACGGTGATAATGTAGAGTGAATAGAACAAAACAAAAAAAGAGGAAAAAAAAAAAATGGGTCATCTTAAACTGAGAAATATGTAAATAAATGGGTTTGGCCTCTGAGAATTCACAATATTTCCAAGTGCTGCCGAGAAACAAACAGTAAAAACAAACATCGGAGAAGCACTTATAGGCACATTCTACATTTGGCAACTCGAAACCATAAACTCACATCTATAATACGCCTAAGGAAGAGACACGAAATAAATGATATCAAACAATCATGATTAATAAAAAACAGTTTTTTGGCAACTTGAACTCGAGTATCAGGTCAGACACTTAAGTTGGGCACTTCGTTAGCATTTTGGCCACGGGGGAAACATGTGATGCTTAATTAGCGAAATGAAATAATGAGTAACTCGGTTCTTGGATTCTGCCACTGACCAATCCACTTGTCACAGTGTCACACGCTTCAACTATTGGCTCTTGGAACAGAAGGTATAGTCACTTCAACCGCGTTTATCGGTCCACATGTCTCTTTCTTCAATTTTCCTTCGCTTTACTATATGAAAAAACGATAGCCGGAGCAGAAATATAAAAAATGAAATAAAATGATTAAAGTATATAGCGTCCTCGGCAATGACATCTCACAGTGGTCGAGTCACACATGTAGAAACTAGAAGCGTAATTTGAGTCCACCGTCACGAGACATAATGCCAGAGTCACAGGTTGGGAGGCGCATGCGGGCACTCGCTCCTGCAGGAGACTCCGCCCTTCTGGCCTCCCGGTCTCGCTCCATCCCGTGTTCTCGGCCCTCGCCCTCCACGGTGGGCGTTGGAGCCGCGCCACAAATATTGCGACTGAGCACGGGTCACGGGCGCAGACCTGCTGAATTCCTTACACCCTATAAGTTATAGGCTTTGGCGGCTGCTAAATATCGTCCTCGCTCAGCGGTAGCTGCCGCTATACGTATTCCTCGTTGGGTTTGGGGGTGCCCCGAGCGCTCACTCGGCCGTTGGTGGTATTGTCCGGTAGTTCGGCGATGTCCTTGAACACGCCAACTAGGCTCTCGAAGTTGGGGCCCCAGTTGAGCAGGTAGTCCCAGCCGAACGTGGACCCGTTGGGTGGCTTGTACGAGCTCATGTTGCTCAGGTCGTCGTCTGATGCCACCAGGGTGCTGAGCGAGCCGCGAAAAGAATCAAAGCCGTCGTAATTTTTAGCAGACTCGTTATCATGCTCGTTCTCGTTGTCTACTTCCGCGAGCTTGCTGAAAATCATGTTGCCCGGCCCGAAGTCTCGCGTCACCTTCTCATAGTTGTTCTCGTACTCGAACTCCGAGCAGGTGAACGAGTCATTCCCAGACTCGTCCGTGGAAGAATCTGGAGGTTCCAGGAGCTCCGTGTTCGTCTCTAGGAGCTCTGCAAGCTTGTCCTTGCGCTGATTGTCCTCGCTAGAGGAGGAGACAGCGTCAAGAGTAGAGACCAGCGAGGAGTTTCGAGGCCGGGTGTTGAGGCGCTCGATCTCCTCCGCCGTGAGGCCCAGGCTCACGCTGCTGTCGTGCTTCTTCTTCTTGGTCGACTGGGACGACGCGTGCATCGACCCGGACGACTGCGACAAGTGCGACACAGGCGAGTTGAGGGAGCGCTCGCTGGTCGACATGACGTCCTTCACGCCCGGTCCCTGCGAGGTGGCCAGCAGCGCCGTCTGCAGGGGCTTGCCGCTGATGTCCTGCAGCGTGAGGATTCGCGGAGTCTGCTGCGACAGCTCCGAGGACGGTGAGAGGCGCGCGAGGGGCGTGGACTGCATCTTGAGCACGGAGGGCGACTCTCGGGGCGCAACGGGATTCGGACTCTGCCGCATGAGGTTGCGAGGACTCTCGCGGTGCGGCGTGTTGGGGAAGTTGTGCGGCGAGTGGCGGTGGTTGTGCTTGTGGTAGCCCGGCACATGCGGGTTGGTCTTGTACTTGCGTACGTTGCCGTCCCTGTAGCCCTTGTAGTGGTAGACGATGTCGATGTCCGAGGGCGCGATGGACGAGGCGTTCTCCAGGTCGTAGTGCTCTGGCGCCTCGGAGTCGGGAATGTGGCCCATGCCCGCCATGGCGTCGCGGTCCTGGAGCTGCGACTCGTCCACGCGAAGGGGCACGCCCGGGGATTTGTTCATCACTTCGCGCTCGATAATGTCCGGGCGCTGCGGCCGCTCGTGGTCGCGCTCCTTGTACTTCTTGGTGGCCATCTCCTGCGTGAGGTGGGACCGAAGCACGTCGTCCGTCATCTCGGCGCTTTCCACGTAGCCCGAGTCCTGCGGCGACCGACCGGAGTCCGAGGAGGTGTTGGCCAGCAGGGCCGAGCCGTTCTGCTTGACGTGGACGCCGCCCTTCTCTCGCCGCTGCCGCCGCACGCGGTACACGATGAAGGAGACGAGGATGGCGACCAGCAGCAGCACGAAGAACACGATGACGAGTGTTATGCCGATGGAGAGGGGGTCCGTGGAGGCTGTTGTGCCTAGGTCTGCGCCGGTGCAGTCCTGCACGAGAGCCACACCGCGGGCCACCGCCTCCAGCAGGGAGCCCGTGGAGTTGAGCGGCTGCACCTCCCCGTCCACGCTGAAGGTCGACATACACCCGACGAACCCTGCAACGGAAGGGGAATGTTACACTACAAAATAAAACCACTGTCATAATCCCTTAAGTTCTAATAATAATAACGTTAAACAAAAAATAAAACTCTAAGCTTCGCTGTTGCTCTTTAGTCAAGAACATAAATAAACAAAAAATCGAGACCTAAACGGGCACATGCACACATTCCCCTCAGACATCGTGCCCGTGGAATCGATTGCCTACAAAGTACATCCAGCCTAAATCCATCTAATCAGTACCCTCCAAACTCTGTCTAAAAGCCTCGCTAATGATGACAGGAAATTGCTTTATTATACAAACTGTCTTTCGGAAAACGTAATGCATGACGAACAGGTAAAATTAATGGGTTACTATCGAATGTAAAGTAAATGATAAATAAAGCGCAAGTGTTGTAAGCAAAGGAAGACTAATCACGATAATCCATAAGCATGTTTGCAAATATAATAACCATCGTAGGTAGACACTGAATGAAAAGTTCAGTAAACAGATTTCTTTTCTTTTTTTTTTGTAACATATCTTGTCAGTTTCTCCTTATAAACGCATTTTACTCGTATTCTTATTCCATGAATTATCTAATTCTAGGTCAGCGTTTAGTGGCCAACAGAGTCGTGGGAGGGCGTAACGGACCTGCACATTACGTCACTTCCTCCGTACATGTATTCCCTCTGCGTCACGGCGGGCGGCGTTGCAATACTGAGCAGTGGGCCCTCGGCTGCATTGAGATAAATAACGAGCCTCGGGCCCCGGCTACCTGCGATACACCTGCAATCAACGGCCTCCCTCCCTCCCCTTTCCGTCTCGGCTCATAACGGGACATTTTTCTTGTCGTTTATTATTATTTTAATGTCAGCTCTCGAGGAGACGCCAGGTGGCCGAACTCTTGCGAAACGGACGAAGGCGCGCCTCGTCCGCCTCCGATTCCGCCTGCGGGAGACGTGGAAGGAATCGAAGTCGTAGTCACACGCGGCGGAGGAGAAATAATAAAGGAAGGACACAAAGAGGAGAGGAAATTTTCAGAAGGGAAATAGCGAATGGTAATTTGGTTCGAATCCTTTCCTTTCGAAATATAAGTTTTGAAGCTTGTGAAACAGTCGTTGAATAATTGCCCCAAAATATATTTTCATGCCCCCCCCCTACCGTAGTTGCAATGATAAGAATTCAACCTCGACATCTTCATTTTCCCCCCGCAGGCACGGTACTAGTTTTGTTTGACTCGGTGTGGGAGGGAGCATAATGGAGCTGGAGGTGGAGCGGAGGCGGGCAAAGGGCAAAGGAGGGAATTCCTGGTAAATTCAGCACAAGTGAAGGATAAAAGATGATGGTTTTCTATTATTAATGAACAAATTGAAAGAGTGAGCTTTGCGTATGTGGGACGAATGAATAGCTGGTAAATGTACCTTTTTCTCTGTACTTCCTTTCTACAGACGTAAGTGGTCTGCGCATTCCAGCATGTACTCTGAATCTGTATTCATACCCATACCCTCAATACATGAGGGCATTGTTGTGTTCAGTACATGATTATGGGCAACTAAACCCTGAAAATGAGGCACTTCGCAGGTTGCCCTCCATTTGCTCCGAATGACTCGGCTAGTCATCTCGCTGCTATAGTAAAGCCTCTAAATTTCTCCACTTCACCGCACATTAATTAAGGCTACCTAATGGCTTTGGCCTCTTTAATTATCATATCGTTTAGCATAACTACCCTTTGGTTGAGCAGAGTGGCTACGGAATGACCGAGACGAGGCAGATGCTGACACGCCGGACGGAGCGCTTCCTATTGTGTTCGCCGACTACTGAGAACGAGGATGACTGTTTCCCTCCCAAAGCAAAGCAAAACACACTAAATAAGTTAAATAAAATCCCCATGTAAAGCGATTAACATCTTGAACAAAAAGGCGTCAACAGTCGAAAGAAAATGAAGATATAAAAATGCCTCTACGCGTTATTAACCCCTTAAAAAGAATAAAAAAAGAAAAAAATGAAGCTCGCGTAATGAAAGCGTACACGCAATTGCGGCCCGGGCCCTTGAGGACCGCCGCCGAGAGCAGAGGGAGGGTCGGGCGGCGGCGTCGGGGCAGCGCAGGCCTAATCGTGTGTGACACGCGAACTTCTCATTAGACGCGACCATACAACCCGCTCGCCCGACTAAAAACTGCTTTTCCCGCAGCCTTTACACTTATATTTATCTGTGATTTTCATCGCTACGGCCCGTAATTTGGCCGCCAAGCAGGACATCTGTGCGCCGACCCTTTGATGGATGAAGCATACTCACATGATGGGAACATAGACGTTCATGTTGCAGAACTCCTTTTAAAATATAATATCTATAATTTTCCGGAAATCGCCTTGCAATAATGGCATCATTATCAGCCCGTATTAACCATGAGAACTGGCCTGCCGACCCACTTAACCACTCACTAATACTACGTTGGAAAAAACTTGATAATATGGAGGTAATAATACCCGATGGTTATTCTACTTCAGTCTGCCTTAATATTGGTTAAACATATTGTGTAAAACGTTTTGTTGCAAACGATAAATATGAAAATATTTAATTCAACATTAATGCAAGAAATGAATCTCTGCACAAGATTCCTGAGATTTATATGATAAGGGATATTTTTAGTATTGAAAATGCAATATTTTCAATTCTACAAATATGAACAAGGAGTAATGTAATGATATCAGCAGCAAAAACGACTCTCACTGCCGCTGCGATCACCTCTCGTGACATCGTGAGACCATGTTACGACCAGTTCATCGTCGCGGACTTGCCTTCGGGCGTGTAGGGCAGCTCGTCGGAGAACCTCGGGGCGGCGCCCAGCGTGAGCGAGGTGAGGTAGGCGTCGAGGAAGTCGTGCACGAAGCCCTGGTCGAGCTCGTCGCCCACCGGGTTGTCGTCGAACAGCAGTCTGAGCGCTGACTCGGCCGCCAGCAGCGTCAGGTTGTGCCACACGCCGTCGTTCACGCTCAGGTCCGGCACCGTCATGTTGATGGGATGGTTGGCGCCCTGCTTCGAGGTGTACTGCAGGCTGCCGCCGCGGATCTCCACCAGCGTGTAGTCGTTGTTGGTGGCGCTGTGGAGCAGCACGCCGTTCTCCATCAGGGTGCGGAACTTGAAGGACAGGCTCTTGGGCGGCGGCGGCTTGAGCTGCCGAGGGAGCCGTGGGCGGGCGTGGTACGTGTTGGCCTCGCGCGCCCACCGCGAGTGCTGCTGGTACAGGTGCGGCAGCAGCTGGCGGCGTCGGTGCTGCTGCCGGATCAGGAATTCCACGTAGGCACCGCGCGTGAAGGAGGCGGGACGCAGGGCGGAGTCACAGTCTGGCGCCACGAGGCCGTTGGCGCAGCGGCACATGTGGGTTGACCAGCGGTCCAGGCACGTGGCGCCCTCGCCGCACGGGTTGCCCGCGCACACGTCCGCCACGCGCTCGCACGTGTCCGAGATTCCGCGAGCCTGCGCGAGGAAAGGAAAAGCGTGCTTAGTATGGTGGGAGAAATTTCTATTTATTCGATATTACAGAATTCTGGGAAACAAGTAATGGGTGTGCGCGCGCGCGAGGCTTACCTGGATCGGGCCGGAGAGGTTGAGAGGCCGGCCGTTGATGGACACCGCCTGGATGCAGCCGATGAAGTCGTCGGCGAACACCTGCTGCGGCCGCTCCTGCAGGGGGTCCACAGTCATCACGCCGCCCAGGTACATCGGCTCGTTGTTGAAGTTCA